TTTATTTTTATTTTTGTTTGGCTGAAAACAGATCATTTAATGGTTTCAACCATGTTCGGAGACGATTCTTCGATGCCTTTGTCCCCGAGGCAAGTCTCCTCCTCTCTGTTTGTTTCCATTAAAAATCAGATTTTGATTGTTGGGTCATTTAGTTTCGTGAAAATTTTGATAAACAATCTGTTCTTCGTTTCACAAAATTGCTTCATATTTGGATACCTCAAATCCCAATGTTGATTTCAAGTAAATGGGTTTTCGTTTCGAGTCCTGAAGTCAGCTTTGTTTGCAGGGTTTCCCAGGTAGTGTGACTGCTGATTATGTCCCTTTCCAAGTATGGGACTCTTTGAAGGTATATATATATATATTGATGAACATTTTTGGACTACTTAAAAACTAGTATATATATATATTGATGAACATTTGTGGACTACTTAAAACTAGTAATCCATACTCGATCGAGTTTAGCTCAGTTGACATCGTTGTTGATACACTACACATGAATACTTGGAATTGACCACGTTTAAGCGCTGAATATACTCCTATCTATGGCTGGGGAGGGGTCTGGATAGTATAGGCATTGTGTCAAATCGTTCAAAAAAATAGTAATCCCTACTAACTATAGTTAAAATTTGTTCGGGTTTATTCTACATGTGTGTAGGGACTTTCGACATATATAAGAATAAAGCTTTCCACACAAGTAAGGGTCAAATCCTATTGATTTTGAACTACACGTGTGTTCCATATACTCTTATGTTGATGGTTTCTGTATTTGGTTGTTGTTTCCTGTAACTTCTTTCTCAGGCTCTATTGAGTGCTACTGGAGTTGGTGAGAAATCCGCAACTATTATCGGTGCAACGTTTCAGGTAGAATTAGCATCCGATGTACAATTCTATATTAATCATTCCCGTAGTATTATACTTGATCTGTGTTAGATGGGAGTTTTATGGGATCCTGGTTGGTTGAACTCTTGAGGTTAGTTTAGGCTTTCTCATACCGAGTTATGGTTATTGTAATTCTTGTAGTGGTTCTTGAGAGATCTAACAGGAATGCTAGGAGGCATATTATTCGCGCTTTACCAGGTTTGCTCATTGAGACTACTTCATTGATTATATTTTAAAACCGTCTTTTTAAGCTCATGTTGAGTCACTTTACCAGACTTGCTCACTGAGATTTCATTGATTGCATTTTTCTTCTTAATCAAAACCGCCTTTTCAAACTCATGTTGAGAGTCTAACACCATGATGGTTTTGCATTAGGGCTCAAACCTTGATAGTAATGCCAAAATGTGGCGATTGGTTGCGGATCTCATGAATGATTTAGGTATGTCGATGTTTCTTTTTAGAGAAATTGCATTGCAGTAACGACTGCAGATCTTTGATCTTTCTCTCAGCCCCCCCATATGTATGTGTTTACATTGGCGCAAATACATGCCCATTGGCAGACTAGCACGTACATAATTGTTGAGGCTGCTCAAACTCTTCATTTTTCTTGAAGTATTTTTGTTCTACTTCCAAGTCCGACACATATTTGGACATGTGTATGGGGATATGACCCTACAAAAATATATAAAAACTTGGAAAATATTGAACATAAGTATCGAACACATTGTGACTTTTTTGTGTGTGTATTGGCTGTTATATGCTGTATTCAAACAAGAAATCATGTGTTTGGGTGAATTATATCAAGCTTTCTCTCTGTATGATTGCTGCCTCGATTTGCCTTTATTCTAAACTCTTGAACTTACAATTTACATGTTGGTATTTGGTTTTGACATCTTTTTCATTGAAATCAGTTCTTATTTCTAACTACAAATGTGGGCTTTCATGTTTTATTGCAGGAATGTTGATGGATCTTCTTTACCCTTTGTTCCCTTCAGCTTTTATTTTCATTGTTTGCTGCGAGGTTGTCAAGATCATTCAGTAAGCTTCTAAATTCCTTAAAACTAAGAACTTATCGGTTCTTTGAGCCATTTGGACACTGCGGAGCACAATTTCCGCTGGACACGTTTGGTTTTTGCAATAATCACTTTATTATGTATGAAGTTTCTTGTTATCATGTAAAAAGAATGAAGCAATTTCTGTTATGGAGGAGGCTCGTTTGAACTTCTAATTATGCCTTTTTCTGCATAATTTCCCTATCCAGCCGGTGTTGCCAGTGGAGCAACCAGAGCCGCTCTGACACAGCATTTCGCCCTCCAAAATAATGCAGCTGATATATCTGCTAAGGTACCTCAAGAGTGATTCCGACGTTTGGATGAAATGGCAAGAGCCTGTTGTGAGAAGGGATAGTTTTAGTACTGAATATTTTTTTTTTCTTTTCGTTTCAAAACTATTGGCAGGAAGGAAGCCAAGAGAAAATGGGAACAATGATTGGCATGGCATTGGGAATGCTTCTTGCTCGAATTACTACCTAAAATCATCTCGCCATTTGGTTATCTTTTCTCTCTCTGACAATGTTCCACATTTATGGTAAGTTGGTCGACATCAAGGGTCTCAGATTGTTAAATGCAGCTAATATCTTAGAAAAACCATACATATTTTGCTTAAACTTGGAACATCTTGCCCGCTGTACTACATAGAAAATGCAAGGCCTTCAGTCTCGAGATCATACGATAATCTCTGTATACATAATAATATGATGTAAAATCTGTAGCATATCGGAACTAGGGCATTGTTCACCAGATTTTTCTGTCATTATGACTTATCTTCTTATTTTCTTTTCCCTGATTGCATAATTAATTGGTGGTTTCCTTTTTCCCTATGCATAGCAAATTATAAAGCTGTCAGGTGCCTAGCTTTAGACTCACTGAACTTTGAGAGGAGATCGATTCTTCTACAGCATTTCGTAGAATCTGGCCAAGGTAAACAACCACAATCTGAGTTGCAGTTACTCCCTTGAGGTAAACTTTTATTGAATTTTGGTCCAGGACATAAATGTCCCGGGAGGCTGTCTTATCATTGTTTTAAGCTATGCTACTCGAACTATGCTGTGTTCAGCATGGGTGTGTTGCCTCTGTTCCTTTTTCTTTCTTTCTTTCTTTTTTTCACATTTTTCAAACTCTTAACGATTTCGTGCGTCGTATTTTCAAAAGCAGATGTTAATGTCTTTCCTGAATACATTTCCAGTTCTATCCCCTAAAACAGGTCTCAACTATGGAGCATGTTTTGCCCTTGTGGACCACTTTAATGTCATCAAAGTGTGCTAAGCTACTGCACACAAATGTAAAATTAGGGTTAAGAGTTTCCACTGTTGATCTCTTAAACATGCGAGTATTTTGAAGTTTATGCTTATCATCATGTAACAAGGGTTGCCTTCAGCATCTGCATTGTCTTGATAGCTCTAATATTTAGATATTGCCTTAATAGTTATTGAGTAATTTAATCCTTGTACGTTTAAGTAAAACCGATAACAATATGAACGAAAAACCGTCTAACTATTGACCAAAGCATATGTTTTTAATTGATTTAGTCTGTTATTGTACTGACTGGTGTAATGATAATCTCGAGCAGGACCGGCTTTCTGAATTCAGCTGGATCATTTTACAATAAAGTTTGGAACTTTTACACATTGTATGTAGAACATTATATATAAATGATATTACCCTTTTATCGATGATTAACGTCGTCGCTAACTCCGGCTATATTGTTACTCTAGCTGAGTATTTACTGCTGGAGAGAAGGGAATCGTCATGCACAAAGATTCAACGGGTGCAGATATCTTGAACTCATATATTCATGCACTTGTTATGGTCAATCTTATGGATGAAAAAAGATCTCTACATCTGGAAAGCCAATCATGGATGGATAAGCACTATGAAAGTTTCGTTCAGAAGGTAATGTTTATGAAATATGTGCATTTAACTTGAAATTTGTTATGCTTGATGTGATCAATGTGTTTCCTGATTACGTTCGACTTTCTCTCACCGAAGATTGCATCGATTGTCTTTGTTTTTCATCTGAAGTTAGCAGGGTGGAAAACTGAAAGGCTTCTCTCTCATTCAATCGTATGGAAGGCACACTGGTCATTGGATGAAAAAGCTGACTGAGGTATCTTCATTTATGTCCATGGTTGTCCTATAGGAGAGAAAATTAAAGCAAAAAAAAAAAAAGATGAAGAGAAGAATCAAATTCAATATCTACTTATCTACTGCTTCCATGGTGCAAACCAGACAACCTGGTTTAAATCAGATTCATGTCTGATATGGAATTGGCAAGGAAAAAGATTCGGAAGTTCGGATTCAACTACAGGAAGCTTAATTGTCTGAGTTAAGAGACTAAAAACTCATAATAATTTATTTTGGTTTTTGAATTTTTATATATGACAAAGCTTTAACCTTTAATTATCATAATTTTGAGTATGTTAGACACGATAAAAGCGAACGATGATTTGACCGGTAAAAATCCGAATCTGCTACTCTTTTCACGAGCATTGTACTCGTGATTTCCGATTTCGTGTGTAATTACGAAATAATATTTATTCAAAAAAGTTTTTAACCATTTACAACACATATTCTATAAACGTAATTGTTTGAATCCGGGACCTCTAGAGAGAACAAGACTCTAGGTGAATGGAATATCATATATTCATATTGCTAGCTACATAATCTTTCACACGTTTGTCATAGTAAAAGATGTTATGGCACGCACTATCCACTCGCGTGAAGCGGAAGTTAAATTACAAAAGTCCAGATTGCGCGGTTTATCAGTTAGTATCAGTTATAAGCATGCTCAATCATATGTTGTGCACTTCCTTTCCCCTTTGTGAGAAGGGGGAGACCTATGTTAAATCTATGTTCCACCGACTTGAATGTGAGTGCTGGATACAGATATGTATTCGGTATTTGTTCTTGTTCAATATTTTTCAAGTATTTCATGTATTTGGAGGGCTGTCCTTGGAAGATAATGTGTGTATATATATACCCTATATCCATATTTGAATATGTCGGACATGGGTACTTCAAACAAAATGAAGAGTCAGAGCGATATAGTTCAGTAGTTTTTTCTCTTACTTAGGTATCTATATTGAAGAATTACCCACTACGGTTATATACAACCTTTTTGGTATTCAAGGGTGTGCCATTTAACACCAGCTTAGAATGGACTAATGTAAGTTTTCCTCACTAAAATGATGTTAAGCAAAGTAATGCAGTATTTATCAGATGAATTGTTGTCTATTCCAGGAAGCTGGTACATTTTTCAATTTTGCAGGTTGAAGGGGGAATCTAATAGCTATTCTATTTCTTGTAACCCTGTCCAGATAGGTAGATTGCATTGCCTGTATCCTTGGTGGGAGGATGCAACTGTGAGTTTTATGATTAGTGGTGGCTACAACGTCTCCCGACAGATAGATCAGGTATGCCCGACTTCATTTTTTTTAACCGTGGGAAACCAAAATTAAATGTTAGGTATGATTTTGAAAAAAAATAGTTGGGTCAGCAAAACGAAACAAAAATGATAGTTGGGGTACTTAGCGTATAGTTTACCCTAAAAGTAAATAGAAGAGTAGTTATCTTCACTTTGAGCAGAAGTTTGTGTGCTTTATATCAGATGGAAGTGCAATAAAATGCGTTGATTTTCATGCAACTTGTAAATATTCTACAGGTGAAGCAGAAGACACTTATCATATGGGGTGAGGATGATCAGATTATTAGCAACAAGCTAGCAGTGGTTAGCAACTCAAACTCTTGCTCCATACAGCCATAACATCACATTGAGAAATAATAATAATAATGTATGGATCGAAGCTCCGGTGTTGATTTACTAAAATTTCGAACTTCATGAACACTCCTGATACAGTAGCAGAATGAAAATGAACTTGTTCGATTTCATGTTGCAGAGACTGCACTGTGAACTGCCGAACGCGATTGTTCGGCAAATACCGGATTGTGGGCATCTTCCTCATGTCGAAAAGCCAGATTCGGTTGCCAGATTAATCTTGGACTTTATGAAGGATTACTGCCAGAGAAAGTCCCAGTTTGTCCCCATGTAATCGAGGTTAATGTTGCTTAAACTCAGAACTATATTTTAGCTCGGATCGTGCCTTACCTGTACGTTTAATGGTTAAAATGCTTATACATAACATGAGAAAAATTGATCCTCTGAAAGAAAGATTATAGCCACTAATTTAATCGGATTCAGTACTTCAGCAGTGACCCATCAACGTTTCTCTATTTGTCTCGTCTTCATTTTCGAAATATTCAGTAACCATTCATTGATTCAAGGCAAAGATGCAACATACACATATATCCATGTTTCATCATTAGTACCTTCGATGGATAAGGAAAATGTTGTTCTCTTTAAGGGTTTCAGAATGGAAAAGTTGCGTATGAAATAAGAATGTTATTATTCAATTTGGAATAACATTAAAAAATTCTAAAATTAAAACGGTAACAATGAAATAAGAATGTTTTCAATAGAAACCAGGTTGGGGAAAATACCCTTATTAACCAAGCCGTCTGTAGAGAGAGAAAGATAAAAACTTTACCATTTGCTTCATCTTCAAGAGTTCCATATGGGTTGAAGAATAGGGCAAAGAGAAGAAAAAGGTTCCAAGATGTTGGACTATGACTATAAATATATATATATATATTAAATATCTTTTGTATTTTCAATTAAAAATCTATTATCGTCAAAATTTTAAAAGTTAGGCGTCCCTTATTGAAAATAAGATAATGTTTTCTAGTGAGGAGATATGCTTCTATGTATGGTTCAGTTGTGACACTCGGAGAAGCAGGGATTGATCCTGAAGGTCAAATATTAATGGGGGTGCTTTTATTTCCAGTAGAACAAGACCGACTTGTAAGTGCATATGACACTACAATGTTCCCGGGTACCATTAAATTCAAATGCGTGGAAGCTCTGCCAAACAAACAAACGGTAAAAGAGAGAGAGAGAGAGAGAGAGAGAAGGCTTGTCTAGTTGAGGATAATAATGGTGGGTCCCACTTGTCTTTTTAAGAACCAGATCTGACTTTTGTTTAAAGTTTATTTATTTACCATTGGAAAATTAAAACCCTACTTTTATTTTGATTTTTATTCACCTCTCTACTGGAATTATCTCTTTCCGGACGTTTCACCCTACATAAAAATGGACCCTTTTTTCTCTTCCATCACCGTAGCTCCTCAGCCCCCGATCCCTCCCCCGTTCGTCGTTGCTCCTCTCTTCGCTTCCAATCCCCCGCCGCCCACGACGGGGACCGGTGGTCCTCCTCTGAGCTTCGATCACCCTTCTTACTCTGACATGATATGCGAGGCTATCGCGGGTTTAAAAGAAGCCAACGGGTCAAGCAAGAGGGCTATAGCCAAGTACATAGAGTCAGCTCACAAGGACTTGCCACCAACTCACTCGGCCTTGTTGACCCACCACTTGAAGCGCTTGAAAAACAACGGCATCTTAGTTATGGTGAAGAAATCTTACAAGCTTGCTTCTGATGCTACCAGATCTGAAGTTCCGATCCCCGATTCCACTCCCACCGATGCTCCGACCGGTCTCAAAAGGAGCCGCGGTCGCCCTCCTAAACCCAAACCCTCAATCCCCGCTGCTGGCGCCGAACCCGTTCCGGCTCAGCAACCGCCCGCTCCGATTCCCGATGTGACTAAAAGGACTCCCGGTAGGCCGAGAAAAAATGGTCCGGTCGATCAACTTGGCGTTAGGAAGGGTCGGGGTCGTCCACCCAAAACCGGGCCTAAGAAGAGTCCCGGTCGACCGAGGAAGCCTAAGACGGTGAGGTCAGTGGTGGGGGCCAATGCGATCAAAAGGGGTCGTGGACGGCCTCCCAAGGCCCCTGCTATGCCGAACCAGGGTCAGGTCGTGGCCGTTCCTTATGCTGATACTGCTGCTGCTACCACTGTCATTGCTGCTAGTCCGAGACCCAGAGGAAGGCCCAAGGGCACCACCGTAGCTGCTGCTGGCGGCGTCGCCGTCAGTGGAAAGGGGAGAGGTCGACCGCCTAAGACCGGTGGGGTCGCCGCCAAGCCCAGGACTTCAACCGGTAAACCCGTTGGCCGTCCCAAGAAGGTAAAACCACTTTACTTGCATATGGTTTTTGGTAGAAGACTAGACTAGAACTGTGTCATAAATGCAGCGTCTTACAATGTAAAGTATTCGAAGTAAACAACAAACTTAAGCCTTTTAGTCACTTATAATCATCCTTTAAGAAAAGGTTATGGGGATAATTGATGAAGAAATGCAGGATATTTAAGAGAATGATATATGTTACTCAGACCTGGGATGAATGCAACATCGCAGTGCTCGTATTTGTAGGATCAAAGTTCTCGGATACGGGTATTTTAGGGGGAAACGAAGAGTGGGAATATGTAGATTAAGTGATATTTAGGTCAATAATATGAGCACTATGATTTTGCAATGCCTCTAAGCATTTCAGTTTTGTTTTAAATTTTATCTTCTGCTTGATGTTCCTATGTTGATCTGATGTCATGACCTTGTTCTTCGTTTTTATATGAAGACATCGGGCGGAGCAGCAACATATGCAGATCTGAAGAGAAAACTTGAATTCTTTGTAAGTGAGATGATTTTAATCATACTACTGTACTCGAATCGCCCGTACTGTACATAATCGAGGTATATTTGTATTATATATGATTGGAAAATGTTGATTGCAGCAATCGAAAGTGAAGCAAGCAGTTGAAGTACTAAAGTCTCAGTACAGCAGAGAGAACAACATCAGTACAATCGATGCAATCCAAGATTTGGAAGGACTTGCCATGATGGACATCGGCGAACCGTATAAAGAGGATGCTCGACTGCCGGAACCGACACAACCACCACCAGTGCCGCAAGGCGAAGGACAATTGTATTGATAAAATCCCTTTCTCCCCTGTATGATTATATCAAGAACAATGGGGGGAAAATGTTCTGACCCCTAGACATGAAATTTGTGATATATTTTGTGTAAAGGGAGGAGTAGGAAGTTGCAGGTGTTGTTTATTGTTGTTGAGGTGTGTTGTTTGTAAAACCTTTTTCTATGTAGTGCAACATTATTCAGGCATCATCCCTGGCTGGGTTTTTGCTTTAGTACTAATATGTATCGACACAAGTCTATTTTGATATATTATTTCGAGTTCACTATCATTTTATGTATTTACACGCCTTATCTGATGCATTTTTCATGTAATTTAATTTTATACGTTTACACGCATATGCTTTTAATATTTTAAAGGATCAATTACACGTTTAGTACTTAAGCTTTACTTCTACTGCTCTTCATCACTAATCTCTGGAGCATTCTATAAGGGGAACGAAGATCAATCTATGTTTTAGTTAGGACATTGTGTTTTTTTTTTCCTTCTCCAACGTGGCAAAGGATGTATGATTTTATCATGATATTTTTGCCATTTTAATATTCGAAAAGTGGTTGTAATTGTAACTATAACTCTTCTTTAATCCTCTTCAACTTAACCGAAATTGTTAATTTTGGCATATATAATTATTATTTGGGTAAAGTATAGTAATGGTCACTGAACTTTTCTAAAGCTTTCATTTAAGTCCCCCAACTTTTAAAACTTGCAATACAGTCCCCAAACATTTAGTCCATTTGCAAATATGGTCCCCCAACAGTTACATCGGGGACCATATTGCAAATGGACTAAATGTTGGGGGATCATATTGCAAACGGACTAAATGTTGGGGGATCATATTGCAAACAGACTAAATGTTGAGAGACTGTATTGCAAGTTTTAAAAGTTAAGGGACCTAGGGGACCTAAATGAAATCTTTAGAAAAGTTTAGTGACCATTACTATACTTCACCCTTTATTTTAATATTTAATTTTTTTTTTCAAACGTACATGTTTAATAAAACAAAAACACGTTTATGATGAAAGCTTTTGATGTGTCGAACTTGAGCGAGCGAGAGAGGGAGCAGCCTTTCTTGCACATATCCGTATATGAATCTGTCATGCCAAAATCCCATGTTTTCGCTCTACATACATAACATGCATACATACACATGCATGAATGTTGATGCCTCCTCAGATCCAAGAGCAACCCACAACAATCCAAAGTGTAATGGCAAAAGTGGAGAGAATGTTGATGGTGCTTGTCAAAAGAAATACACCACGATTGGGATCAGTGAACCCTGTGCTTGTCCCGTTGGCCCCAGAGTGGTGGCGCCACCACCACCGAATACCGGATACCCCGTGGTCGGCGTCGTTGAAGGGATCCCGGGTGTTGTTGGTGTTCCCGTGGTTGGCGTCGAGCCACTGCAAAATTTAGCAAAAATAAACACGCATCCATTCATGAATAAAACTTGGTAAACTACGCATTTATTATCTAAATATTAGTTTTAGTTTATTTTAGTATCTAAATTTTTATTTTTTTTTCAAAATCATATCTAACGTTTAGTTTTTATTTCATTTTAGTACCCACCATTAAAAACTTAACGCATTTAGTATCTAAACTATAAATTTTGGTCTATTTTAGTACCTAATTTTTTTTTATTTTTTTCAAAAATCAACGTTAAATTTTGAAAGGATATTAAAATGAAAAAAAAAACTAAATGTTAGGTATGATTTTGAAAATTTTGAAAATTTAAGTGCTAAAACGGATCAAAACTAATAGTTTAGGTATTAAATCTTTAATTTACTCATAAAATTTTTGAGAAACCAAACAAGGGTGCCAATAACCATACCTTGAAGGAAAACTGCAGGAAGAAGGCACATCTGCAAAAATCACAAAGAAAATCATGAAAAATCCAAACACAAATACATATACATACATACATACACATACATACATACATACATACATACATACATACACATACAGAGAGACATACATACATACATACATTGCGAAATGGATTTGGGTTTTGAAGAAATTTACTTGGAGGAGGATTTGGACTAACAGTGGCAGTGCCAGAAAAATCACAGCTCCCTTGAGCTTGACTTTTCTTCTGGAAATAACTATTGACTGCATAATTGCAGTGATCTTTCACGGTGTTAGGATTATAGCAACCGCCATTCTGATTAATCTGAGATCAATCGGCTCCTGTTCCGCATGCATCTGTTTTTTGAAGCATCTGTTCACTCACTCCATCTTTCAACAAACAGTGAGTAGCACCTGCACCAAATCATAAACAGATCAAAACACCCTTTTCCCAGAAATCAACAAAGATTTCTATCAGAATCCTTGAAACCCATCTCAGAAATCTTGAGCCATGGATCTCAAGTTGAAAAAACAAGGATCTTACTTGAATGTCCAGCGAGGGCTAAGACCACCCCTAGGTAAACTAAAAGGACCATGATCGAGGAAGAATTGGAATCACAACTGATTTTCAAAGATTTGCAGAGGGACAAGAAGAGATGAGATATATAAACCCTTTTTATTACAGTATGTAGAGTAATCTTAGGACAAAGTATTCATATCATATCTTAGTTAAGATACATACACAAACGAGTGAATCAATAGGTGGTATAAGTAACTGTGCAGGATTCTTATAAGAAAAAAATGGGGGTTTATAATGTGTCTTTGACTATGTTTCCCCCTTTTTCCCAGCATTTCCATGTGTATGTATGTTCATGTTATTGCATGTTTGTCTAATATATAGTGAGGGGTTGAGTAAGACTTCAGGAATACTAATTACTATGGCGTGTAGGGTTGTTTCTAACAAATTATTACATTTCATCTAATCAAAGTTTTACCAACAGAAGAACTAAAGTTGTTGGTAATAAAAACAAAATTAGTAATTTTTTTGTTAGTAGGGTGAATACAAACTAATATTTGTTTAAAAACTTTATTTTTTTTTATGATGAACATTAACATAAAAAAAAGTATTACTCTGAATGAATATAAAATAATATTTATTTAAAAATTTAATTTTTTAATAATGAATATTTGTATACATTTGTCTACGTGATGTTCGAATTTAAAACACAAAAGAATAAAAACGATTCCTCAAAAATATTCTTTTAAATCAGAATAAGTGAGTAAAAGTTCGACCAATCAAACAAAATAGCTTTAACCTAATAATAGTTAAAACATGGATTGGGTACTTAGGGTTGTAAACGAGTCGAGTTCGAGTATTGTTGAATTCAACTCGATTCGAAAACTCTAAAATTGAGCTCGACTCGGGTCAAAAATTCGCAAATCTAAATTTTTAAGTTCGACTCGAACTCGAAACCATCAATTGAAGCTCAAAAAAGCGCAAAATGAAAAAAATCATAAATTTAACTCGACTAAACCTTCAAACTCACTAAAAACTTAAACCTTAAATATATAAAAACCTTATACTCTATTTTTTTAAATAAACACATAAATGCTAATATTATTAATGATTTACTTTTAAAAAATAAAATCTTAATATATTATATTTTTGAGTTGCTCGTAAGCTTTTCGAGTCGAGTATCAAGTAGCTCGTTTCCACTCGTTAAGAACTCGAGTCGAACTTGAGTTCGAGTCGAGTATTATTGAACTTTAACAGAATCGATCTCGAGTAGCTCACGATCTATCTTATCTTATTTACAGTCCTATAAATACTGTATGAAAATAGGATTATCTGATTTTTTTTATTAACCTAAGGTGAATTATAAAATAACATCTGTTTTAGATAGAAGGGTGCAAAAAGGTGCAAAAAGATCTGATTCAATCTGTTGCCGCAAACCTAAGGTGAAATTATAAAATAAAATCTGTCTATAAGGATAGGATCATCTGATTTTTTTTTAAACCCAAGGTGGATAATAAAAAGGATGCTCGGCCGCCGGAACCGACACAACCACCACCGGTGCCGCAAAGCGAAGGACAACTGTATTAATTAAGTCGCTAATGTTCTGACCCCTAGACATGTATATACCGAAAAATACTCACGTGCGGTAGTTTTAATATATGGTTAAAGAAGATGTTGTCGGTTTTGTTATTTATTTAAATAACAAACCGGTTAAAAATGACTGAAAATATTATTTAGGCGCTAAAAATTATCGAAAACATTATTTAAGCGCTAAAAAATAAACGAAAATATTATTAAGCACTAAAAAATAACCGGAAATATAAAAAAAAATATTTTAGATAAAAATAATAATATTTTAGATAATATTTTATCAATTTTATTATTTAAACAATAACAAAACCGATAACACTTTATTTTAGCCATAAGGGTAGCACTGTAGAACTCCCCGTATATATCTTGTGTAAAGGAAGGAGTAGGAAGTTGCAGGTGTTGTTTGTAGAACCCTTTTCTATGTAGTGGCTGTGCCACATTATTCTCAGGCATCATCCCTGGCTGGGTTTTTGCTTTGCTACTAACATGTATTGACGTAAGTCGATTTTGATATATCATTTCGAGTGTACTATCATTCTGTGTATTTACACTCATTATCTGATGCATTTTTTATTTAGTTTAATTTTATGTATTTACTGGCATATGCTTTTAATATTTTAAATGATAAATTACGTGTTTAGTATATAAACTATCAATTTTGATTCATTTTAATATTTATTTTTAATTTTTTTTTAAAAAACATATCTAATGTTTTATTTTTGTTAATTATAGTATCCTACCATTAAAAGCTCATTTAGTACTTAAACTATCATTTTGGTCAATTTTAGTATCTAAACTTTTATTTTTGATGTCAAATTTTAAATGAAATACTAAAATGAAACAAAAAAATAATCTAATATATTTAGAAATTCGAGTGAAGGGATGAGTAAAACTTCAGGACTACTAATAACTATGGGGTGTAGTGTTATTTTTAACAAATTATTAAATCAAAATTTAACTAACAGAATAACTAAAGTTGAGTATAATAAAATAAGTGACGAGCTAATAAAACTGAAAATTATTTGTAACAACAAAAAAACTTAAAATTAATATTTTTAAAATTAAAATTTATGATTACGGGAAGATAGAGAGCTTTCTTTGATCTCTTGGTAATTATCACAAGGAGCTCAGTATCAAACGGAGTAACCACAAAATTTAAGAAAAAGGGGATGAATGAAGTGCTACAAATGCCTAAAAAGAAAAGGTAAAACTGAAACAGAAAAAGAATTGGACCTTCTCTATTCTACACTAACAGCCATCCTCCATGCTCATTGTCCAGTCATTAAATATCAAAAACCCTGTCGAGAATTCCAGAGCGTTTCTGGCGATGCCGCCGAGAGTGTTCATCTCCTGCCCAAAATAACATCCTCATCAGTTCCATGACATGTTACCTATTAACTTCGCGCATATGCTAGCTAACTACAAGTGGAACCCGACTTGTGCAAGTTTCGGGTTTATAGATCTCGATTATCTTTTGATCGGTACCGGAAATAGATATGAAAATATGATCCAAGGATGAGAAAAAGACCTTAAGGAAATTTGAGTATATAACCATTGCACCCGCGGTTGGCTCTTAAGCTTGGTACATGATACCATAGAAAGAAAAAATACTTCATAGAACTGAAATATTAGCTCTAAAGATAAACAATGGACTCGTTCTCCCCTGGTGTTTAAGGCATAAAAACACCGGCCTGCATTTTATTTGCAGATGTGTCAACTAAGTTGAGGCTCACAGACATGTTTGATATTTTACTCTTTCGGTGTATGCATGCATGAGTCATCGAAAGGGTTTCGTTGGATTAGTTTGACAGTTACCAGTTCAAAAATCGAAGATGACGTCTGTCGCCTTGAGACCTTCTGGTGCTAGATCAATCATCTTTTCATGAATGGTTTCTGACAAACAAGTAGCCGACGATCATTACCATTCTGAATGTCAATCACCCTTGTATCCCATCGTACTTGTATAGCATGTGCACGGGCCAATTCTATAACTCCTAGTTTATCAGAGATCACAACCCAGCCCTGCAAACGAACACATGCTCATACCATTTAAATTCATAAACTTCCAATATACAGTTGATCAAGAAGTAACTATTTCGGAAAGTATTCATTAATATAACATATTTTAGGGCACATCGTATGGAATGGCATTATACGGCATTGATTAAAATTATCAATTTTCATTTTCAATAGACGAGCATGTTGAGGAGGATAGTATGTTGAATATACATCGATGGCTTTTCCTTCAAACAGTCTTAACACCAAATACCTCGGACGCAGAACATGATTAAAAAGCGACTGTATAGAATATGATGATATAGAAACCCAGAAAAAACACCAAATACCTCAGGACGCAGAATTCGATCCATCTCTACAAATAATTCCATCAAACTGCACCACTCTGAAGTAAGATATGAGAGGAGCCCATCCGCATGAAGCAGGTCATATGTTCGAGGATATGTAGGAAAGGGTTCACACCTGAACATACCAGATATATTAGATAATGATAATATGATCATTTGAATGATTGGCGCTTCATGCTATCATGTCAAAGGAGAAAAAGGAACTTTTGAATGTTCAACTGGACTGGACCTCAAGAGAGAGAAATGCATATGCAGATTCAAATGTAAATTTTAAGTGAAGTAAAAAATAGTTCAAATTGCAAACAACTGAAGATTCATTATATATAGAAAAGTTACTCGCAACAGTAAATTCAATTTAAGAATGAATCTAACAAAAGAAAACTATTTTAACAGAATCATTATTATCCACAAACTTCAATATTAACTTAATCTTGGAACAAAGTGAGAAACTGCACTTCTAAAAACCTGCGGAGATATATACAATCAAAACAAATAAGTTAATATCTGAACTCCAAAGCCAGCTCATAACTACCAACTTAAACAAATTACTTTCATGAAGTTTTTTAAGAAACTAACCAGTCATGCAAAACACCAGGAAAGCCTCGGTCAAGAATGAGAGGAAGTGTATTCCGTGCCCTAACATGCACAACATTCATCACCCACACAGATTTCATTTCCTCCAAGAATGCAGCATTTAAACCCCCATAATGAGCATTCATGTCCATCACATTGCGTACTATATTAAATGGAGGCAATGGGTCTTCATCACCTGGCCTCTTGGGATGGTCAGAGAAAATTAATGGTGTAAGCAAAGACCAATAGTTTTTTAAAGCTAATTTCCAAACTTGCAAGTCTTCAAAGAAATCTTCCGGACTGACGCCTGCAAGGGTAAACTTAAATCAATATACTGCATAAACTGTCGATTGCATACAAGTGCAGAATGAAAACATGGATGCAGGGAGAGAGATTATTTGGGTTGGAAAAATACTTTCCATGAACTTCAAGCTCTGCAGAGCTCAAATATGAGCTAGAAGACTTGTTCTGAATAGGAATCCAGCGTTTGCTGGAAGCTCCAATAATACATGGCATAAAGGTTTGATAATAGTGAGCGTCATGTCCTTCTTTACATAGGAGCACATCATTCTTCTTGCTATATTCAAGAAAATTGAAGTAAGCTAACGGGAACAAATACAATCAAATCAAAGTGAACAACCAAAATATAGTTTTAATGAATTGTTTATTATGAAATCGAAGAGTCAATTTGAAAAGAGTGAAAAATATCAGTGTATGCTCACAGAGAAGAATAGCAGTGAACATCAGCAGTTTTCTGCCAGATGAATGTCTCATCTTGCTGAGCAATAAGACTCCAACAAATTTTTTCAGTGAATTCAGCCAGTGGTGTTAACATGCTTCTTTTCTTCTTACTTGTTGCACGTCCATGTGACTTACTTATGGGTGAGGTTATAACAAAATAACCTCCAGGCTTGAGTAACCGATCAAATTCTATAAGAAACATCCCCTCTGTTTTATAAAATCATAGTTAGAAAGTAAAGCATAAGTAATTTTACCATAGGAACCACTACCATTCAACTCTGAAAGTACCTTTCTTGTCCCAAACAATACCGCACTGCGCACAATGAACCATGTCAAATGATAATGATGGATATGGTAGTTGTCTTGATATGAAATTTCCAATCATTGCTGGAAGACCTCTCTCAAGAGCTATTTGGACTTGGCTTCCAGTTGCCTCATATGCAGCAACACAAAGAGCCATCAACCTTAGTGAAACTAAATGAGCTCCAAAACTTCCAAATCCACAACCAATATCAAGAACAGTGCGTACCTGTAGCCAAAGTAGGATCATTAGATACCATGTAGTGCAGATAGCTTTACTTTCCCTTGAAGACCACACACAAATTATCTTTCTCATATTTTTAAAAATGACAATCTAAAATATTGGGAAAATTGATTCTGAAATACCAAACTCTCATAGCTAATGGTACCCCAAAAGGGTAAAAGTTGCATCATGGAATGAATTAAAGACTTACGCCAGCTTGAAAAAATTCAGAGTCACTTCCCAGTCCCATCATCTCTGCAATCTGGCGAGTATAATCTTTGACACCATCAAAGATTAAGCCGTCTTGAGAGTGGAAAGCAATTTGATTCTCTTCGAGCAACATCATTCTATACAGTTCGTCAAAAGATTATGAAGGCAGATTAGAAAGCTGTATTTTATCGCATAAAGAACAAAGAATGAAGGATATAAGCTGCTACATAGCAAACTCTATAAGGCAAAGTTTGTAACCAAGGGAGACATGCCTGATACTTTCTCCTACTTTTAGAAAACATCCAAATGCATTTAATAAATACCTCTTTGTTATGCTTCCAGACGAAAGGAATTGGTCTTTGGTTATCTTGATATTCCCACTCCATATTACATCCCTACCAGCAGGCCAACGAAGTGGAATCTTGTAATCCTTTGGTGGGCGGACTAAACAAAACTTTCCTTGGCTTGATACTTCACAATGCCGATCAAACTCCTCTCCGTCTTTAAACCCTAACAATAAGTTTTCCGTCACATTGTAACAAGGAACATAATTTTCTCTTTCTTTTCCGCAAAAGCCAAGTTCCTCTTGACGACCAGCTCCCGACGAGACAGTTCTCAGCTGAAAATAATCAACTGCCACTTGCTCCTTTAACCTTCTATAGTTTGAATAAATCTCAGGTACCGGGATGAAAGTTATGGAGTCAAAGGAATTAGAAAATGTCGATCCAAAGACTGCAATCAGCACAAGCAAGCAGGCAAAGCACAATAACAACCAACAGACCGGCAGTCTACGGCCACAAATAACAGAAAGTAAAGGGCTTCTCATGTCCAAAGCTTTAAACAACTGAGGTTTGCGAAAACCACTAAATAACCAGTCCCTTTAGTTTAAATCTACAAGAACCACTGAAACCATAACCTATCATCACATATAAGCTTCTATATATGTTAGCATTAACCAGAACAAGTCCAATAAGCACTGAAACCACCTCCTCTACACTCCTTCCCTCACGAATCTCTCCCCAATCATCACAAGCAACAGATAGGGAGATAGTGAAAAACACCAAAGTTCACCATAACCAGTATAAAGAAAAGCTAAAAATCAAAACTGAACCGAAATTTACTGCATTATATACTTTTTCACCATACTCCAAACAGAGCCGACCCGAACTAAATTTTGAGTAAAGCCAAGTGCTCAGTTTCCAACAAGTAAACAACCAATTGCATCAAGCTGCAAATAATCCAATGAAATAAAGATTTCACACGAGGGAATAATTTAACGGTCTCTTTGGCAGATGAAACGGTATTCTAGAGCTTACAACATAAAATTTAAGGAAAGTTAGATCTCAAAACGGAAACAATAACAGGTCAAGATCATTGAAAAAACAAAAAAGAATAGTAAATTGAAAACTGAAAAAGATTAAAATAAATAAGAAGCAAATTAGGGATTACGTGGGAGCGTACCGGTGGAGATTCAAAACCCGAAATTGACAAATGCAGAGAGCGACAGAATGAAAGAGTGAAGCATAAAATGTTTTATTTTTTTAGGAAATAAATATTTTTAAAAGGAAAGTACAATTCTTTTATTTTTAATGTTTATGGTAGATATAATAATCTTTAATTATTTTTTACTTATCCATCCACTAAATAATAATAATTTTAAAAAACAAAAATATATTTATATTAAGAAATTATTAAAAGTACGAACAGAAACTGGTAAAATTATTATTATTATTTCTTGAGATAACAATTTCAAGCACAAAAACTATTAAGAATATGAGCGTTCAATATTAAATTTACCTTATATTAATAAAAAAAATTACTAGAAGGGTTTACATTCAAAATTTTATATTTTAAAAGAAATCATTTACTTAAATGCAATAATTTAAAAGTTTTATAGTTAAAAGATATTATTGTCCATCTTGTATAATCATTGGTATATGATCAATTAATTAACTAATTTCGATTATGTACTTACAAAAGTAAGAACGATTCTTCTAAACTATTTTTTTATTTTTAAATATTATGAGTTGAACCTTTAACTTTACTTAAAACATTTTTTTTTATAATTTGTGTTAATTTTATTGATCAGTCTAATTTTTCCTTTTTTAATTTTGCTTAACAGACGACAGCACCAGTTTTAATGTTGGTTGCTGACTGTTGGTTATTTTTTATTTTTTTAGTTTTTTTAATAATAATAATTATGCATTTATGACATGTTCTCTGTCTTTATGATATGTTTATCTTTGCCTTTGTAACATGTTTTCTTTGCCTTTTGGTAGTTTACGTTTTTTTACCGTTGTTTTTGTTTATTTTTTCTCAGGGTTGGATTTGACATCGCCACGATTGATCAAGATGGCGTTTATTTGTTATCATGAAGATCTTTCGTGCTTTGGACTATCGGATTGATTTGGGTATGCATTTTGCGTTCCTGGATAGTTTTCTTAAGTGACTTGACTCTGATTTACGATTTGTTAGTGGTCTTTCAGTAGTTTCATCATCATTTGTGGTTCGTTTACCGATACAGTCGGATTTGTTCGTATCTTTGTTTTATTCGAGTTTTTGGTTAGGTTTTTTAACATTTTTCTTCTTTGGTCCTTATGTGATTTAAGTGGCTAGTTTTTGTGTCAATGGTGATACGAAAGTGTCATAATTATATTTTAGGTTTACAGTTATGCTTGTAAATCTTCATTGTAATTTTAGATATTTTCTATTTTCAATAAAACTAGTGACATTATTTCAAAAAATAATTACTTAAAACATTTAATATATCATCTTACTAAACTAATTTATTGTTGATATAATTCCTTTATTATATCTCAACCTATTTTTATGTATATTCATTGTTTCTTATAAACTGTGCTAAATTTAAAATAATACATTATTATTTTAAAATTTTAATATTTATAAATATTTAATTGTTATTTGATAAATTTAGAAATTATTCGTTAAATAATATATAAGAGGATTGGGACTATGCGCTTTCAAATTGTAAGCCTTAATCGATAAAATTCCAGCCCTTATCCTTAGTATTTGCCCTCCTAACATTCAGATACATTTGTTATTTTAGATATGCATGGTACCATAAATATCAATCATCATAAGATATGCATGGTACCATAAATATCGATCATCATAAGATATGCATGGTACCATAAATATCGATCATCATAAGACATGCATTCTCTATTGTTCTTTCTCTTTCTCACCCGCGACTTTTCTCTTATTTTTGTTGTGTTCGATAAATTGTAGGCTTTATGTAAAAATAAGTATTTCAATTATATCTAAAATTAATTTTTTATTTTTATAGAGATTTTTATTAAAAATATATATCTAATGTTTTTTTCTCGTTAAATTCCTAAGTACCTGTGGTTTAAAAGTTAACATTTTTTGTTGAACACAATTTAAAATGTTAATTTTTTTCTAAATTTTTTTGACTGTACACCTTGTTTATAATATTTTCAATTGACAACCGAAAATATTACCTTCTTCGTAATATTTTAGGATGTACTCAATCGAAAATGTTATATTCTTTATAACATTTCCGATTATATTCATTTTATATCGTTTTTTAACTTTAAATTAAATTGTCCTACAATATAATTTATCAGATTAGAATCATTGTACTCACCAGCAGGAGAGACGTCCAAGTCTTGGTCGTTTCAATTGCTATGCTTATGTTCTTTTATATTTATGCTGTTCGGCCTCAACAACAATGGAACCCCACCACCTTTGCTTGTAACATTTGCTGATACGTTGTTTACGTCATAAAATGATGACATGTTAAATTCATATTTCCCTCTTAATTATTTGAATTATAAAACTATCGAATATGAATGTATATTTTGATAACCCATCATTTAAATCTAATATAAGACACGAACCAAGTGATTTAATTAATTAAGGAAATATTATTATCTCTCGACGTCTTGGATTTGAGTATTGCATTATTTGTATATGTTAATGTTATAAGTGTTTATTGTCAAATGATTTGAGAGTCTTTAAACATAGGGTTGTAAATGCGACAAGACAATTAGTGAGCTACTCGAGCTCGACTCGATCAATGCTCACACCTCCTGATATTTCTGGTACTCGAATTCGGTACCTCAAACAAGAACAACAATTCTTTACCTCTGAGGTGGCTCGATTCATGCGAGATTTTGACTTCGAATACGTAGTTAGTTGCTTGTAACTTTGAAAACGATGCCCTAACTTGTAAACAATTAGGTGGTAGGTTTCAAATCGATTTCAATTGCCAGTTTTGTTCATAGAATTTCTTCCCCCACCCATCAAATTATTAAGTTGTTGAACGTTGATTACATCGTTTACATCATAATGTTTAAATTGCATTAATTTTTTTTTATTAATAATTGTCACGTAATATCAACAAATATAACTCACAAGTAGATAAGTTCAAATTTATAAAATTTTAGGGGTTAAAATCATATTTTCAATAAAAATATTAAAATTTTAAAATATAATAATTTTAAATATAAAAAAACTACTATTATACCCGTTTTACTCGATCCATCTTTGACTATGGCTGTTAGTTTTTTTATGAAAGATGATAGAAAGATATATGGGAAGAGCAGGGACGGAGCTCCCTTAGGGCCCAATGGAGCCGTCCCCTGTTAAAATTTATATAGTCGAATAGTTTTGGTTTAATAGTTTTTTGGTCCATGTAAAATAAATATTTAAATTTAAAAAATATTAAAATTTATTAAATATTTTATCAAGTAGGGATCGAACTAAAGAATGACAAGTCTATGTTCTTAAATTTTTTGTCTAATTACAATTTGAGTCATTATAAGTTTAAATATTAGACAAATTAGAAGTTGACTTTTGACTTTTGAGGGTGTTTTTTTTTAAATTTAGGGTGAATACATGATAATATATGTACAAAGACTTTCAACTATTTGACAAGGAACGCTTATACCCCTATATATGTGCTTGAACTCGAGACCTCAAGGATAACAACAATCCCTTAATCACTAAGGTCGCTTGGTTCATGCTGAATTTTGAGTTTAAATACCTAATAAATCTTTATATTTCTCTTAAATTGTCTAATATTTCGACTCATGTCAATATTTAATTATGATTATGTACATGGAAGAGGTAACTTTTATTTTTCAAACCTTGTTAGTTTTCATTTTTTTTAATAAAGTTTCTTGTTATATTTGCAAGATTCTAGGTAAGTAGGGTGTGTGTCATATTAGATTTATATTTTCTCTATTTCCAAAATTCACTATTAATGTATAAAATAAATATCATTTTAAGATAAATTACGTATTTAATACATAAATTATCAATTTTGATCCGTTTTAGTAATTTAACTTTAATTTTTTTCAAAATCATATCTAGCATTTAGTTTTTGTTTTGTTTTAGTATCATTCGTTAAAACTTTAACACTTATAGTACATAAACTATCAGTTTGATCCGTTTTAGTACCTAAACTCTCAATCTTTTTTCAAAATTTAACGTTAAATTTTGAACGAGAGTACTAAAATGAAACAAAAACTAAACTTTAGATATGTTTTTTGAAGAAAACAATGAAAATTTAAGTATTAAAACTGATCAAAACTGATTGTTTAAATACTAAACGCGTTAAAGCTTTACCCGTTGTTTTAATAAAAAATATTATTTATAGAATATCAGTGAAAAACAATTTTACAAGCGTGTTGAAATGTTAAATGTATTTTTATGTATATTAAAAATCTAGAAGCAAACTAGACATGTAATATCATATAAATATTATTTATAATTTGTTTTTATTAACCACATATCAAATAACAACCCTTTAAGTAAAATGTAAATTCCTATCATTAATTTAAGAGAAAATAACATCAGTGACAAAAAATGCCTTATAATATACGATTTTAACCAACTTTTTTTGGATTTGTCAAAATGACCAACTAAATTGCAATGCGATCTCCGGTATCGCAAATCAGTTTCCAGATTCGCAACGCGAACATCGACTATCGCAATGCGATTTTCCAAATTCGTTGCGATAGTCGAAG